ACATATTTGACCCCTGTGACCTTGAATATGGGTGAAGGTCATTCATTTGAACAAACTTTGTAGCACTTCATCTCAGCATGCTACTGGCTAAATATCATCACCCTGAGCATTTTGGTTATTCAGAAGAAGTTGTTTAAAGGTTTTTTAATACAATTGACCCCTGTGACCTTGAATATAATTGAAGGTCATTCATTTGAACAAACTTGGTAGCCCTTCACCCAAGCATGCTACTGGCCAAATATCATCTCCCTGGGCATTTTGGTTATTGAGAAGAAGATGTTTAAAGTTTTTGACATATTTGACCCCTGTGACCTTGAAAATAGGTGAAGGTCATTTATTTGAACAAACTTTGTAGCCCTTCATCCAAGTTCGCTTCTGGCTAAATATTGACACCCTAGGCCTTTCGGTTATTAAGAAGAAGTCGTTTAAAGTAAAATATTGACGCCGGACGACGGACGGACGGACGACGGACGGACGGACGGACGACGGACGCCGCGCCACGGCATAAGCTCACTTGGCACTTCGTGCCAGGTGAGCTAAAAATGGAGATATAAATTTGAATAAGAGCCACGCACCGATTGACATCAATTCTTATTTCAGTGATCTGAATTTAAAAAAATAAGCTGGTTAAACTGGTATCTGTCCAGGAAAATGTTTCTGTTAAAACGCTGTTTTCTTAGGTTTGCAAGTAATTGCTAAGAAACATGACACACAATGGTTCTGAATCGCTCACGTGGATATTTAGGCAATCAATGCAAGTTTTCTCAACAAATGTGGTATTGCAAATAAGTTCCAAGGGATGGGTCAGACCCCCACGTCAATCAAGGTAGCATACCTTTATCCAAATACCCATGCTTAGCAATTGCATATAATATAAAGGTTGAGATATCAACTGTTTCCAGGTTGTTATGGCCATGGCACTAAGTCCCTTGCGCTGGAGTAGACAGATACCAAGGACAATACTTGTAGAATGTCGTATTTGACTTTTATGCCCAACAATTGTTTTTGTGGTTATGGGGTGGAGATCCCAACCTAACCTTGTCATAATTTCCCATGTGGGCGTTACTCACAACATTGGAAGTTGCCGTTCTCCATGAACCACTTGTAGCGGGCTGTATACGGCTTCATGCGCATAAAGGACGGCTCCAAAAAGCAATCACGGATGTTTACTTGGCCGTAACAACGGTCGTGATGCATGCAGCATCTGCAATGATGTAGGTGAAACAGATAAGGAAGGTGTTTTACAAACAATCAATACGGTATTCATACTTTCAAAATAAATTATAAAAGTTAGTATGGTACTTATCCCAGATATACATCCGTGATGGAAGACTGCAAAGTCAAATAGTGCCAATCTTCAACCCTCCACCTTTCATAGCTGAGTATTTGTTTTAATATCAAAATGATAGAAAGTTTAAATAGTGTGGTCAATTAATTATTGCAAAATTTGGTATTTAACTATCTTTGATGAACATGATAAACAACAGTCACACTTTGTTGAACCTCTGTATGGCCTTGTTTAAGTTCGGGAGTTTAGAAATAAACCAAACTAGTCTAGTCCCAATGTATAACATGTACAAAATGTACCAACAGATAACACTGAGGCTAAACCAACAAAGCCATCCACAATAAAGCATTGCTCCAACAACGAAGTACAGTAGTACCTTGACTGCTAATATGTGTATGCGCAACTAACAAAGCATGCTAAACTTAAAAGCAGTTCTCTTCAACTCAAATAACCCCATTTGCATTATTTTTAAAGATACGTGAAACTGGCATCCATTTTCATTAGGGATCGTAGTGGATGTATTCCGTCTTTGCGTATTGCATAGTTATCTTCTCTTGTGAGCAGGTATTGATTGTTACGTTATTGGTTTGTGTGAGAAAATTACGTTGTTTTCTCAAAAATTGATGACGTTACTCTCACAAACAAATGACGTAACAATCAATACCTGCTCACAAGAGCAGATAACTCTGCAATACGCAAAGACGGAATAACTGTTGCGTAACTTACTCGTCTATAGGGTCTAGAGGAATACCACCTCCGCCCATGCCGCAGTAGTTTCCGTATCCGTTGAAATCCATTCCGCTCCTTCCAGTCAACATCTTAATCATGGTTCCGAACTCCCGAATACTCCGCTTGGCTCGACGGGCTTCGGTTCCTACAACCGATCAGTTTGTTATCAATGAATCCAGGATTCTGAAAATATCTTTATATTAAAAGGAATGTATTATATATATTATGAATTCTGACGCGCGATATCTATCGGGTAATTAATGCGATGAATATTGTAAAATTTGTAATGTGCAATCACATTTTAAGCGTTTTAGTTACAGTTTAATATGGAGAAGTGGAAATCATGAAAGGGGAATAAATAGAAGACATGAATGTTTTACTTACCATAAAAGTGCCCCCACAACAGCAAGATGAGAGGTAAAATTAAGTATGGTCGCATTTTACCTCTCAAACCTGACAAAAAAGAGGAAACTTATTGAAGAATGAAATGTAAAATCCAAACAAAATCATATACAAATATAAAATGAAATAATAAAAAAAACCTTTGAAATGATAGGATCTATTCATGAATTTGTAAAACGACTCTTGAAAGTGCTGAAAAAAAGTAGATTACTACGGATTTCATTTAGGTGCATTTCTAAGGCGATACATTTAGGGCATGCACACTATTATTTTCGAGAAGTTATGTCGGGCGTTCGAGATAATTAACGTAAAAGTCAATATTGTGCATGTCCTAAATGTACCACTGTACATTTCATATAAAACCTGCATGAATCAAAAATCACAATAAACAAAAACTCACATGCAAAACAGCCGACAAATAATACACAGATGAAATAGCTAGTGATCCGTTCTTTTCCTGATCCTTGAATCAATTGTAAGACACTATTTATACTGACCAGTAAATAGCAGGTCAAACATAAACTTGATTTATCGATCCGTACCGACTGATAGATATATTATCTGGTGCCATTTAGTGTCACTCTTTCATTTCTAGCCAGGAGTTGGTCAGTAGTTTATCGGGGCGGCATGACTGTGCTATTATCGCTGATATTTATGAACATACCAATGTATAAAAACACACATAAACGTGGCAAAGGACAAAGGTATCTGACGCTGTCGGTACGACACAAAGCAAAAACACCTAGTTATAATGTTCTATGTTCTATTCCACTCGTTTTATTTACCACTGCTTAACGACATTTTGTTTTGTATTTCAAGACCTATTGATCCTTTTTGTTAACAGTTCTCTCCTATGCATTCTTCAATGTACCCTTTTATGACGCCAAATATCGCTAGACAAGTAAAGGGAGTACCACGTGATTTTAATGTTTATCTATTCAGATTAAGGGAATACATATAAGGTTTTACTAATTTAGCAAGGGAAGCTCAAACCCTTATTTTGTATACTGATGTATAAAAAAAAGTTCGTCTCCCTTTCTTAATAAATTATTACATATGCGGTTATATCAAGAAATTAATTATAAAAATTGCAATGCAGAATATGGAGCTCTCCATTAAACATAAACACCGCGTTAACATATATAGTCGTTATCAAAATGTGGAGCTCTTCATTAAACATAAACACCGCGTTAACATATAATTGTAACTAGTGGTTCTTTTCTGGAAGCGTGACAATTACACTGTCTCTAGTGGTGGTTAAGGTGTTGGGCTGTTGGTTCAGGGTTTCTTAGCTCTACCCTTCGTCTCAGTAATTTGTATATCTTTATTTAATATGATGCATGCAATCTAAGGAATGTGGAGCTCTTCATTAAACATAAACACCACGTTAACATATATAGTCGTTATCAGAATATGGAGCTCTCCATTAAACAAAAACACCGCGTTAACATATATAGTCGTTATCAAAATGTGGAGCTCTTCATTAAACATAAACACCACGTTAACATATATAGTCGTTATCAGAATATGGAGCTCTCCATTAATCAAAAACACCACGTTAACATATATAGTCGTTATCAGAATGTGGAGCTCTTCATTAAACATAAACACCGCGTTAACATATAATTGTAACTAGTGGTTCTTTTCTGGAAGCTTGACAATTACACTGTCTCTAGTGGTGGTTAAGGTGTTGGGCTGTTGGTTCAGGGTTTCTTAGCTCTACCCTTCGTCTCAGTAATTTGTATATCTTTATTTAATATGATGCATGCAATCTAAGGAATGTGGAGCTCTTCATTAAACATAAACACCACGTTAACATATATAGTCGTTATCAGAATATGGAGCTCTCCATAAACATAAACACCGCGTTAACGTATATAGTCGTTATCAGAATATGGAGCTCTCCATAAACATAAACACCGCGTTAACGTATATAGTCGTTATCAGAATATGGAGCTCTCCATAAACATAAACACCGCGTTAACGTATATAGTCGTTATCAGATTGTGGAGCTCTCAATTAAACATAAACACCGCGTTAACATATAATTGTAACTAGTGGTTCTTTTCTGGAAGCTTGACAATTACACTGTCTCTAGTGGTGGTTAAGGTGTTGGGCTGTTGGTTCAGGGTTTCTTAGCTCTACCCTTCGTCTCAGTAATTTGTATATCTTTATTTAATATGATGCATGCAATCTAAGGAATGTGGAGCTCTTCATTAAACATAAACACCACGTTAACATATATAGTCGTTATCAGAATGTGGAGCTCTTCATTAAACATAAACACCGAGTTAACATATATAGTCGTTATCAGATTGTGGAGCTCTTCATTAAACATAAACACCACGTTAACATATATAGTCGTTATCAGAATATGGAGCTCTCCATAAACATAAACACCGCGTTAACGTATATAGTCGTTATCAGATTGTGGAGCTCTTCATTAAACATAAACACCACGTTAACATATATAGTCGTTATCAGAATATGGAGCTCTCCATAAACATAAACACCGCGTTAACGTATATAGTCGTTATCAGAATATGGAGCTCTCCATAAACATAAACACCGCGTTAACGTATATAGTCGTTATCAGATTGTGGAGCTCTCGATTAAACAAAAACACCACGTTAACATATATAGTCGTTATCAGAATATGGAGCTCTCCATTAAACAGAAACACCACGTTAACATATATAGTCGTTATCAGAATATGGAGCTCTCCATAAACATAAACACCGCGTTAACGTATATAGTCGTTATCAGATTGTGGAGCTCTTCATTAAACATAAACACCACGTTAACATATATAGTCGTTATCAGAATGTGGAGCTCTCCATTAAACATAAACACCGCGTTAACATATATAGTTGTTATCAGATTGTGGAGCTCTTTATTAAACATAAACACCGCGTTAACATATATAGTCGTTATCAGATTGTGGAGCTCTCCATTAAACATAAACACCGCGTTAACATATAATTGTAACTAGTGGTTCTTTTCTGGAAGCTTGACAATTACACTGTCTCTAGTGGTGGTTAAGGTGTTGGGCTGTTGGTTCAGGGTTTCTTAGCTCTACCCTTCGTCTCAGTAATTTGTATATCTTTATTTAATATGATGCATGCAATCTAAGTGTCATTTTAATACACTTTCACATGTGTTCTCTGTACGATGTGTTGCATTAATTAACATTTCCTTTCCTGACATTGGAAATCTTTCAAACTCATTTTGAAAGCAATACTGTCATTTCCTCAGAATAAAACTTGAACTGGCTTGAAATGACTTAGCCAGACTGGCTAATGGATATCTGGGATTCACTATACTAGTATCTGGATATAAGAATCACGTGCATTTCGAAATACACGCTACTAAACCATCACTAGTGACCGTTGAATTATCTAGCTTTCAGGAAAAGGCCGCTTTACTTGTAACAATAGTTTGTAATTCACCAGGGAGTTTCCATCGGATTAATTCTACCTCCAAGTATGGATGATTCCTGAATCAGTTTTAAAGTTTTCATTTCATCAATCGTTATGTTTTAGAATTCTAATTGGATTTATCCAACATCAAATATGTCTAATAAGAGTCTATTGGATTAATTTGTTTCCAAAAACTTATTTATCCGCAAATTGTTCTCAACAGTTATTCTTGCATCAAATATGATTGTCGGTTGTGTTTCAATGGAATATATTTAAATGTACCTGTAATCTTGCATTGTAAATAAATTGTTTATTTCTTTTAAATACTGCTGGTGCTTATAGTAAGTTAGGCCAAAATCTGACCATCTTTAAACACAATCATGGACGGTAACTGCTTCAAAATGGACACAGATACGGGTAAATATTTTACTTCATAGTAATTTCTACTTTCTAATGTACAACAAAAACAAAGACTGACGTCACTATCAAAAGGGAAGGGGGGGGGGGGGTCAAATGTTATCGGCAATATTAATGATGGGTTACACTAATGAGGTTTTAGAATGTGTAAAAACACCGGTTAAAAAGTGTTGCTGTTATTTACTGGTTTGTATTGGTTTATTATTAACCAAAAGTATCCCGAAAATTGTAACTATGGACGAGCTTGACACTGCAAGTGTGGTGTAGAATGACACTAAGACTGGATTACAATATATACAAAATTTAATTTACAACATATACACTATGGTTTTGTTATTTATAAGTAGTATATACCTTTGCTTTCTCACTCTAACATAAAGTAAGTATAAACAGCAACATAAGACTCACACAAAGCAGATAGATATACCAATACTACATTACACAGGTAACTATCCACCAATACTACATTACACAGGTAACTATACACCAATACTGACAAAGTCAATGTATAAGTCACTGTATGAAATCACTGCCTGGATACAGGGATCATGACAAGGTTCGTCCACCGCGGTCTGTAGTCCTCGGTCCCGTCTCTCTTATTTGACGACCTTAACCATAACTCATGTGCTGATGGGCCCACAAAGATATCCATATGAGAGGTTTCACGTGACGACCAGTCAGTCCAACTGACATAAAGTGTCCTCACAGAGCACGGTCCGTCCACATAAAGTATTCACTACCCCGGTAGCTATACAGCACACAGCACTTAGTTCACACAGAACCTAAAGATGTGGTCCACACAGGACGGTCACCATAAAAATAGCTACTACCTCTGCTAGTTCTTGCAGCCCTCACAAGAGGATTAACAGTGCTTGCCTTTCACCATTGTCCCATAGTAGAAGCTACAATATATGTACAACAGACTTACTACCTATACATATATACTGAATGTCATTAAAAGGTAACATATACGTACAGAATGTCTTACTACCCATATGTATATACAATGACAATAGCGGCAAGACAAGTTAATACGCCATTTCTACCCATTTACTAAGTAGAGTATATTTGTATACAAATATAAAAGCATGGCACAAGCCGCCTTAATATTTAGGGTAAATCCACGTGTGCGGTTCTCTCAACCATGACGCGTACACTTGAACTCTATGCCTATTACCATTATTCCCAGTTAGATTAGAAAATGGGCAATTAAATGGGGATTGTTTATAGGTAATATGTGGTTAAACAATATGTGTTAACAGGCTTATGTATAGCCTTGATATTATAAAGATAAACAGAACACACGCATCGTGCGCGCGAATGTAAACAATGTGCACCTGATATACAGGTATGGTCATATATACAATCAACAGGTAAAGTGACTAGAAACATTACAGATGAAAAACAACTATGTACATGTCGTTAACTAACAATGTTATAACAAATATAAAAACTCACCACAATCTGTAGTTTGTGCTTGCTTACACCTTCTCAATTGCGATTGAGCAAACCTACGTGTGGCTACTCATGGCTACCTGTTGATCTCTAATTGAAACCCGTAGACGGATGACCAAACTCCGGCTTAGTAAAATAATATTTCAATTACCCATGTTATCAATAAAAATAGGTTAACATTAACAAAAATATATATTAGTGATCGTGACAATAGCTTAAATGATGACTCATACATGTGTACCTTTGTGACACTCTACAAGAAAATTCCAATACACCCAATTCGGTTTTGGCTTACTCCGAGTTGTGAAATGCATATACTCTACCGCAAAATACCTGAGGTAATCCGAGTTATACAGCCAATCACGGATCATTGATAGGTCTGAGGTTTTCCCTATGGCGTACTACAAGTAAAGAAGTGCTTTCACATAAAAACATATGTTACTGCTAATATTGTGATATATAATAAGTTTTATTAGATTTTTGCCAGTGAAATATCGGATTCTATCAACTTGATAAAATTAAATATCACTTTTTAGTATTGACCAATCATAACGGTATCTTCTATTCGCTGCATTCAAAGGCAACGATATTTTGTCACAGATTCACATGAAGCGACGGTAAAATAAGTGATTGTTATGGTAAATGTTTGGTACACAGACTTAAGTATTAACATATGTATACCAGTAATGACATTTTTATAAGCAACCATACCAGAAAATAGCAGAAAACGTCGAAATTGCATTGAGAATGCCACTCAAAATGGCGCGCAGCCTTGTTGTCAAGCGTGATGTGATTAGAATATGGCGCTAATGATTATGCTTCTGATTCCCGCCCTTTTTAATGCATTAGATTTTTCATGTTTTGTGCTTTAAAAATGTAATAAATAGAAAATTCAATGGTGTCTTCAGTAATAACAAATATTTTTCACTCATGACGCTAATATTTTGATATTTTTCACTCGTGCTGCGCACTTGTGAAAAATATCAAAATATTAGCCACACTCGTGAAATATATTTGTTATTACTGAAGACACCATTAAATATCCTCTATGTATCACATAATGTACTGTGTTATCAAGTTAATATACACCCTTGTCATATTTTTGCGTATTAACTCACGTATATGACCTACCAGCCCTGTGATTGGTTGTAATGTTCAATTGTGACGTCACGCCTAGGACAAGTACATGATGTCACAGACGTACGCACTGGAGTCAAAATGGCGGCTTTTCGCATTTCAGTGTTGCATGAAAAAATGCCACAAATCTTTATTATGTGATTAAAAAGGATACGTCACTATTTTTCATTTCATATAAAATTTATGAAACTCGGTACGAGTTCTTCATTTTAGCTCACCAGAGGCTCGCTAAATTGAAAAATTCTTAGACTCATTCATAAATCTCATATGAAATGGAAACTCACGGAAGATCCTATATATATATATGTCGACACTGTAATGATTCAGAAATAGCATTAGTGACCATTTAGGGGATAGAACGTTGTTTTGAGTGGCTATACTGGTGATTAGAACATGAAATTTGGGTTGGAACTCGAGACCGATAGGTCGAGAGTTTAAACCAAATTTCATGTTCTAATCGCCAGTATAGACAGGAAAAACAACGTACTATCCCCATTCTAACACATTGGTCGAGCTATTTTTCACACCAATCAGATGCCGTCTTTTAAAGTGTGTTTGGCCGGCCAAGATGGCTATTATTTTTTGTTCAAATGTGAGCCCGCTGAAGTTTTCTGGCGTGATTATACGGAAACAATGGGATGTACATTCATATCGATGTCGTAGAAAATCTCAGTTCGGTAAGTTCGTTCGCTGTATGTCATTTTTATGTGCACAGGAGATCGACGGAAGGCGGTAGTCAAATGATTTTTTGTGGTGTTTACCGGTATCAGGTAATTGTCCTACCTACAAATATCCGATGAAATTCGGAGTGTGGAAGCACGCCGTGATCTTAATAATTGGAGTATATCCTTCAACTATGTATCAATGGAAAACTGGGAATGTTTTCTGTAAGTTGGACGTTCGTTATCGAAAATTGCTTGCGTATTTTTTTTTAGATATGTTGATTTTAACGGACTTGGTCAATTTCTGTCAAAATTTGCATCCCTGTAGTTATTCGCCTTTTCATTGGTTCGAATGCATGTACATTAAAAAAAATTGTCATTTCTTTTTTTATTCAGATAATTCTCAGATAATAATTTTGAAAAAAAAAATGTATACTTATAGAAAAGAAAAAAAATCTGACATAACAAAGCGTCAAGTGCCTATGCTTGTTCGTAAACGTCCTGCTACCAAAGTTTATACGACACATTTGGATTAATATTGCCCAAGTTCTTACATTTCCATGTCAGTATGTATATCAATCTGTGCTTATCGACAAAATCGGTGATTATTTGTATAGATTTGTGAAGAGTTTTGTGTGAAATGTTTCATTTGATTTCGGATCTAAGTAGATGCCTTCACACGGATGGAACGAACGTTTCAGTAATAAATGGAGGTAAGAAAAAGGAATGTGTACTTTTTACTTTTTCATTCGTTTCTGTTCTGTTGTCTGCTAGCCTTATCAGCGGGATTTCGCTAAGAGGCGAGCTTGACGCCATATTGTTTTGGTTGGAATCGGGGCGTGGCTTAAGTGCGATGGGAGGAGCTTAACACGATTGATCATGATTCTTTCGCAGATTAGAACATGGTCCGTATCCAATCAAAACACGCATTTCAAACGAATCGTGTTAGAATCTATTATAATACATGTTATTCAATGAAGTTTAATGATTACGTTTTTATAAAATTCGACAATTCAGTGATACTTCTCATGAATTTAAGACAAAATTAGGAATATCTAAAGCCATTCACAAATGCTTGTAGCCCGGAATCAAATCACCCTCGGGTTGAAATTCTTCAATGTCTAACCCTCGGCCTCAATTAAGTCTCGGATTATAAAATTAAAATTATCACCTGTCGGGGTAAGATTTATATAATATTCCCCTACCGTGAGGGTATGCTATAACAATCTCAACCAAAAGGGTAATATTCGTGATCAACTCACCCGAGGCTTACGTATTCAAGCCAAGGGTTAAACGTTCAAGATTCTCATCCCGAGGGTTGCGATATACCCTTCCCGTGGGAAATTATTATTTTTCCCAGTCCGTTCACTGGGTAGGAGATTCGGAAATTGAAAACACTTTTCATGGTCCGAACTAAAAAATATATATATATGCCAAGGGATGTTTAGGACAAGGAAATCCACCCTCGGGATTTTCAAATTGGTGCAAAAACATCCCGCAAAGCTCGTGTTTCAACCAATTTGAAAACCCACTGTGTGGGATCGCCATATCCTACACCCCTGGGTATGAAACAGCCTGTCGCACCAACAGCATACCAGAACAAGATTTGGATGTAACAATAAGATGAAGTCAAGAAGTTTTTAGCTGGCGATTTCATGTGGAAATCTAGATAATACATGGCACACATGCTTATAACCATTGTTTTCAGTCGTCCAAATTTCCGAATCTCTGCATCAGAATGTTCCTAATTTCGTAACGCCACGTCGCTGTTATTGCATTTCGACGTCACAAACGTTGATGGGGTGTCGGAAAGATGTGTTCACATCCCTGCTATCTAAAATACTTCCACAGCACAATCACTGGACCCTTTGTAGTGTACTTGCAAACGTTAAGTGAAACGGTATCGGTGAAATTTAACACCATATGTGTGATAAATAAAACCCCAGATTGACAGAGTTTTCCCTTGTTAACTTTTTTTTTATTAGAAAACAGCTTTGATTGTTTTGTTTTTTTACTATCAGTCTCATGATTTATCACTTATTTTTATATCTATATACTGACTCAGCCTACATTTTTTTAACTATAGATGATATTGTCAACAATAGTCAGATTTGCTCAAGTCCATAGACAACAAAACAATTCTGCATATTGGCAAGCCATTGATTGGGTCTACTGCACGTATCACAGGTGGAAGACTTGCTCAAGCTCGAGATTTTGGTTATTTTGGAGACCTAATCTGAAAATTTCTTTAAGGGTCGTCCAGACACGTAATATACAAATGCATACATGTTTACATTCAGACCTCTTTATTACGAAGTCAAAGTCCCGTTTATGTCGAAAAAATAATTATCTATAAACTTATCAAATATGGATATGTAACATCACATATTTCGTATCACAATTATCCTTACTTAATCGGAGACCAGTAACCTGTGATCTATATAACAATTCACGTGTCCCCCTCCCACCTCAACCATCCAGCCCCAATAAAAAGTCCGTATTGTAACATGAGCTCATTAACAAAAAACGAAACAATGGAGGAAAAAGGCAACTTACCACATATATCTACATAATCCAAACCAGCAATACGAATATACTGATAAACGTTTGAAGAAAGTGGACTCAGAGCTACGTTTTTCAGCCCTCGGGGTCGCAACAGCTGTCACGTGGTACAGTGAATGATGAGTAGATGAGATTCGTCTGGTACACTTCCTAGTACGGTACATCTACCTATAGTCAACATGTTCCTGGTTACTTCACAGTATTACATCCCGAAATACGTAATCTTTGAGTGACGAATTTGACCCCATCTTGTACCTTAGAAAGAGTTTTAGTTGTTCGACGCTCAACAGGGACAGATATACAGATTTAACTTCGATAAATGTTTTTATAATAGAATGGATTATACCAAAAATTCAATTCTTAGCACACACAATATTTTCTGTTCACTCCCTTAATTGAAATGCTCCACCCTTAAGTCACAATAATATACTGGTGGGTGCGAGGGTTTCTGTCCTTGCAAACCGTTCCTTCCACAAAGACATGGAGCCTTGATCAGAGTAATGCCCGGGTGAGAGAATTCGCTGCTACTTCATCACAAGCTATTATATATCATCAGAAGAAAATATGAAACTTTATCATTTCGTTAACGAGGAAAATTGTTGATTAGACCTAAAATATTGCACTAACTTGATTATTTTTTCATTATTTATAAAACGTTTTATGCTATGTATAAATAAGCAATACTGCCATATTTAGTGAAGATTTGTAATCAAAGGAAAATAGTGTTTCTCCCGTATTTACAAATAAAGTGAGAACTGGGGAATTGGGGAAATACATTCAACAGTTGACCATGGGGATATTGTTTTGTTACTTGAACAATGAAGAACAAAACAATTTAATTGAAAAAATCAAAATTTTGAGGAGAAAAAAATATTTCCTTTCTTGAAAACTGATAACAAGCATGCAATTACAATTCAGACAGCCCTATATAAGCTTGTGTGCAACATATTTTTACAAAAGATAAGCGCAAGAGTTTTCATTATGTAATGATAAGATAGGTCTGTGACATAATTCACATAAACATTGTAATGGTGTTGTTCAAAGGGAGGTAGCTCGTACGTATCGTTATCATTTCTTCTTAAATATACCGTTGCTGTTCTCATCAAATGATCTTTATATAACATTTCTTGCATAGGATAACGTAGGGTATGATGTATAGATGTAGATGATACCAGCTGACTGCAGTTGAGCTTGAACTCTATTCAGAGAGGATATGTTACAACGTGTATTGAAAAAACGCACTTTGAAAAAGAAATCAAAATGTGTTAAATCTCGGACAACGTTAACACGATTTGATAATATATATATATATATAAAGTTTGGTCTAACTCAACGCGATTTATTTGATTTGAAGAAAAAAATCAAAGAGCGTTGATGACATTCATTTTAGATTTGTTTACTTTCGATCGGAGATGCATTCATATGTGTATCAACGAAAAACAGCAAACACCAACATAATAGGTTGTTGCGGACCGAATGAAGGAAATATCTGACCGGGGTAACTCGAGCGCGAGAGAATACGTGAGGTTTTATTTCCCTGCATGTGATCAATATCATCCAATCTGATATACTGTTATATATGATGACATATAATGACATATAATATAAGTTTCAGTGAACTGTGTGGGTTCAAGTTCGTATCTAATTACTTATATTAATCTATGACTTGGAAAAGTCCATTACGATAGCGTTTAAAGAACATGACATTAGTATACGTTCGTTTAAATATATCGGTTAAAGTATACACGCCCCGAATCAAACAGTTCACTAATGGTGTCTGTTGGCGGTAAATATTGCACGGTGACAGATCGGATGTTTTAACCGCATAAATCAAAATCCGATGTAAATATTCCTGAGGCTAAATCCTGAATGGGTGTTTTTCTAAGTTTTAAGTCAGAGTAGCTTTTAGTCATTCAGACAATTAATTGAATGAATAGATGTGTTTTCCCTTCCTCTCTCTCTCTCTCTCTCTCCTTTCTTCTCTCTCTCTCACTTTTCTGTCTCCCCCTACCACTCTCCCTCACCCCACTCTCCTCTTTCCTAGACACAGTAAGACGTTATCGAACAGAAACTCGTCAAATATTGAAATGGGTTGCAGATTATTTTTATCATTTAAGGACAAATCCCAAAAATTCTACATGGATTCGGGTTGGGATTGGCGCTGGTGGAGTGCGGAATTCGGGTTGAGATTGGCGCTGGTGGAGTGCGGGATTCGGGTTGGGATTGGCGCTGGTGGAGTGCGTGATTCGGGTTGGGAGTGGCGCTGGTGGAGTGCGGGATTCGGGTTGGGATTGGCGTTGGTGGAGTGCGGGTGAAGGGTTGGGATTGGCGCTGGTGGAGTGCGGGTGTAGGGTTGGGATTGGCGCGGGTGGAGTGCGGGTGAAGAGTTGGGATTGGCGCTGGGGGAGTGCGTAATTCGGGTTGGGAGTGGCGCTGGTGGAGTGCGGGGGAAGGGTTGGGATTGGCGCTGGTGGAGTGCGGGTGTAGGGTTGAGATTGGCGCTGGCAGAATGCGGGTGTAGGGTTGAGATTGGCGCTGGTGGAGTGCGGGGGTAGGGTTGGGATTGGCGTTGGTGGACTGCGGGTGTAGGGTTTTGGATTGGCGTTGGTGGAGTGCGGGGGTAGGGTTGAGATTGGCGCTGGTGGAGTGCGGGGGTAGGGTTGGGATTGGCGCTGGTGGAGGGCGGGTGTAGGGTTGGGATTGGCGCTGGTGGTGTGCGGGTGTAGGGTTGGGATTGGCGTTGGGGGAGTGCGGGTGTAGGGTTGGGATTGGCGTTTGTGGAGTGCGGGTGTAGGGTTTGGATTGGCGTTGGTGGAGTGATGGTGTAGGGTTGGGATTGGCGCTGGTGGAGTGCGGGTTTCGGGTTGGGATTGGCGCTGGTGGAGTGCGGGGGTAGGGTTGAGATTGGATCTGGTGGAGTCCGGGTGTAGGGTTGGGATTGGCGTTGGTGTAGTGCGGGTGTAGGGTTGGGATTGGCGGTGGTGGAGTGCGGGTGTAGGGTTGAGATTGGCGTTGGTGGAGTGCGGTTGCGGTTGTAGGGTTGGGATTGGCGTTGGTGGAGTGCGGGTGTAGGGTTGAGATTGGATCTGGTGGAGTCCGGTTGTAGGGTTGGGATTGGCGTTGGTGGAGTGCGGGTGTAGGGTTTGGATTGGCGTTGGTGGAGTGCTGGTGTAGGGTTGGGATTGGCGCTGGTGGAGTGCGGGTGTAGGATTGGGATTGGCGTTGGTGGAGTCGGGTGTAGGGTTGGGATTGGCGTTGGTGTAGTGCGGGTGTAGGGTTGGGATTGGCGGTGGTGGAGTGCGGGTGTAGGGCTCATTAGTTGCATTTTAGCAATCATACCTGCAGGGGGTGTTTTCATCGCATATTATGTCATTACAATGTTTAAACCCAATTTCAAATAAAAGCAAGATATTTAAGCGTGCTCCAGAGGAGGTGTTTCGTTTTGCACACGGCACGCAAATACAGACCTGGGCTACATTCGCGTATCCCGGTTGAAACGGTACGTGTGGCGCAGAAATTTTCCACGATAAACGAACACACTTGGACCGTTCTATAAGCAGAGTTAAAAATCCACAGTTTCGGAGGAAAAAAAACAGTGTTTCAAGAATATTATAACCTTCTTTCATCCGTCCACTGAATTACATAACGTAACTTAAAAACTACATGTGACTTGACATTGTTTTAGAAAGAAATAACGCAAATTGGCAATAGTCAGCATTTTAGTTTCGGTCAGGCACGTCTGGACCCCTCAATCTAAACGTGCCAAATTTTCCTGAGGTCAGCCTCGGTCCAGATCTGTACCTGTCGTTTTCTTTACAGGTTCAACCGCTTCAACCGTTTCAACCGGTAACGCGAATGTACCCTATATTACCGATCGCCGGATGTCGGTTTGTCAGTTCAAAAATGGCGGTCGAAGTGTCAACATCAACAAGCTCTTAACTCCATTTATAATTTAATTTTGTTGTGTTAACTTTTTAGATATTTTCTTAAATCCAACAGCTGAACAAAAGTAAGATAAGTCTGGATTTGTTTCACTCCATATCGAGCAGACATTTAATTTAATACATTTGATATTACATAATTACCACATGGCACTGTAGCATAATTATTGTTTCTTCTTTAGTACAAACACTATTAGCTTCGCATGGGACTGTAGCAAGATCCTTTCCTGCCCTCTAGAACATGTACATATAGCAACCACAGGGGACTGTAATCATTGCTTACCCTTTATATCACTTCATTATCGACGGGACTATAGTATGAACCTTGTTTCCTTTCTAGTGCGTATTTATCACAAAGGACTGCAAATTGACCCCTGCCTGCGCTATAGCAGATGTCGCACTTATCTCCTCTATTGCATTGCCACAGGGAACTGTCACATGTTCCCTGATTCCTCCACATTGACTACCACATGAGTCTGCTGATATTTCCTCTCCTTTAATTCATATTATAGGTACGAGATGGGACGTCAGCATACTTCTTGTCTTGTTTATACATTTCTCCCTCGGCGGACTGTCCTTGCAGAATTAAAGTAAGTGTTTTCGAGTTGTCTCCCTTATTCCTTAACGCTCAAATGTGAGTATCTAAATTGATTACATGTTGACAGCATAAAAGTAAAATTATTATTTATGTTAAAATATATATCTACCATCTGTTCCCGTTTCAAACACAGACGTGCACAAAACCTACATATAACAACATATATTGTAATACACGTACATTATCTACTTGAAATCAAAATTCCCTAAGACCCAACTGGTCTTCCTGATAATTTTGTTGTTAATAAAGCGAGTTAAGTTTGTTACGTGTTTACGGAAATCGTACCGGATCGTTGGCTAGCGAAGATGACGTTTACCAAGTTTGTGTGTACGTAGGTGAAATACCAAAGACGTCATGCTCCGGACAACCTCGGGTATCGAACAAACGACAGTAACTCTTTGTTAACGTATTTCATTCGTTTGTTCCAGTACGATTCATACATACAGTAAGTTTGTTTAACGTAATTAAAATGACGGAGAAGTTCCCAACCATTGGAATAAATACCAAAAATGTATGCTCTGATTTCAAAACTTAACAAGGGGACACAACTATGCTAAAAATACAAGCAAAGTTAAAAATCGCGAACTCGTTCGAGCTATATATGTAATACCTGCACATATTTTCACTAAGATATGTCTATAAATAAGGGCGGGAGAGTGAGGAAAATGAAACGTTCACGGACGGACGAACAGACTGACGGTCATTACTGAGTATATTGTAGTCTATGGGGGTAGAACAACACAACCTGTTCGTCATCTATTATATCATTTAAACGTTGCTGTTATATTGGAAAAAAAACTTGCCAACTCAAATATAAAGAGGGTTGAAAAGTACAGATTTGCGATGGAAACCAAGGTTCTAAAAGTTTAACTGTACCGGAAGTGTACCTCAACTCCAATGGGTTGCTTTCTGTACCGGTCGGCTTTTTGTATTGGTTTGTCTCTCGTCAGATTAGTTTAATTAAAAAGTTTAATATTCAACTATTGACCTTAAATGTTGCTGATTAAGTTTCTCTTATAAAGTCTATTCCTTACTGCACTTTTGAAACTGCATTTCGTTAACAGAGCAAAGAAGAATACAATCATAAGAAAATATGTAAACGTACAATGCATCAACGGCATTCACTAACCCTAATTCATACTAAGAGCAAGCTAGTTTGTCACTTATATTCATGTCTTGGATACTCAGATTTAAGTATTTTTAAATGTTGGAGTGTGAATTAGTTAATATAAGTACAAGAGGCGTTCCGGTGGCAGTACCCAAACGTTTAAAAAACAAAGGCCCAATATAAATACGTAGGCTCATGTGTCACTTAATCCTGGAATAGCGCTAGTAAACAGTCTGTGAACCATTGTTTCCGTCTAACAAATCACTTCCCAGTATAGGTGCGCTGTGTGTGCGAGGGACTTACATAGTCTTTGGGATTACGGAGGATGTTTGGCGTCAAATCACGCTAGCATGTCAGAGAAATGCAGATTTTAACAGTACACGAAATATCTCCTCTTATATCTGTTCATCACTAACCTACTCGATGACTTTGTCAGTTGTGTGACATACAATAACAGTGCATGACAATGTGTGGCACTATCCTCCCTGAATTAAGGACAGTCTAACGGTTGGATTGTATTTAAGTCTGTATGTGTTAGATATGATGCGGAAATTGAAATTTGTTGATGGGTCCCATGTTCTTGAATCAACATTTATATTTTAAAATGGTTTACTGTGATTTGAAAGTTGTCGGATACCATGCGTCTGACTGCGTATTCATCGCTGAAATATAAAAAGAATAAAGACAGTATAGATTTAATACTGTGAATGTTTATATTTTTGCGGTATACTAATTTTAGCGGGTTTTTGGCACTTTAAATATTAAGTTACTATGTATAGTTTCCTGTTACAAATGTTGTTAGTTCGCCAATGCATCAATGGCGTTGCGATAATGTATCAAAATGCGATTTTCCGCTAAATTTTGAACCCGCTAAAATAAGTACATCAAATTATTAATACCTAATTACCGAACAGATGTAAAACTAACTACCACTTGTGTTGGATATCATAGATATTTTGTTCAAAGGGAGTATTTCATTGTTCCTATGACCATCAATGCAGAGCTTATCATTTTGTCTGTTATCGATCATTTTGGTTGTTATCGATCATTTTATCTGTTATCGATCATTTTGTCTGTTATCGATGTCTGTTATCAATCATTTTTCTGTTATCGATGTGTGTTATCGATCATTTTGTCTGTTTTCCATGCGATGTCTGTTATCGATCATTGTGTCTGTTATCGTTGTCTGTTATCGATCATTTTGTCTGTTATCGATCATTTTGTCGGTTATAGATGTCTGTTATCGATCATTCTGTCTGTTATCGATGTCTTCTTCGTCTCAGTTTATATCACTTTCTCAAGTCTATTTAACCACAAATTCACCTCAACAAAAGTCCATAATTGATTAAATATGGTTTATTTTAGATGTGAGGTTATATCTCCTAAAACATCTCTAAACAAATACCCTGTTACTAATTCTCACGTCTGGAAACTGGTAACGCTACCAAATACCTGGGAGTCTCTTTGAGCAGTAACAGAAACTTAAACCAACATATCTACAACGCGGTCGACAAAGGCAATAAAGCGCCGGCATTCCTTCGACAGAACTTCGGAGATTACACACAAATGTCAAGACGGCTACGTCTACTGCCATTGTAGGAGTGTCCCTGGGTTGGTCATCGTCTGTCTAGGACCCCCTCCTACACGGCCATACCAAGTAGATTCAATTTAAGGGCTGCGTTGTACGTCCCTGTAACCGCTCCAACACGACTCCAAGACGTGTCGCCAATATGGTCGAAGATTTATAGTGGGTAGTAGTCTAAAAGCAGACGACACTCTCTCCGCGGCGGGAAGGGTGACCGGGTCTATATGTCGATTTAAGGGGCACTTACATCATCCATTTTAACTGAAAATCGATATTTCTACAAAATTAGAAATAAATAGTTTTTTTCTGTTTTAAATATTTGCTTTTTTTTTAAAGCGTTATATCAGTTACATAATACACAATAACAATCAGCATTACACTCACGGCAACAGTTGCGATATTTTACAGTACCGTGGTATAATTGAAAATTTTGAAAATAAAAACAGATTTTCGTTTAATTTTTTTTTAAGGCCAATAAAATTGACCAAACCTGCAAGTTTAACAGGTTTTACTTTGGATCCTACAATAAAGAAGGAAACCAGAAGAAACGATACAGGCATTTAGAATAGTAAAAAGGGAATAGACAGTGTCGAGGAAGACAAATAGTTCATCATTAAAAACACCGAAGAACAAGGGTACATAACTACAATGTCCAGACTGAACATAGACTGAAAAAATAGGCTGCTTCAATGTAACAGCAGCCAACGGATGGAACAGTCTAAATGATGAAACGGCCAACTGTGAAATAAATTTCCTATTTAAATGTCAGTTATATAGGCATTGGATAGACTTACCGACCAAGTTACAAAAAACAATCTGTCTGAAAAAGATACGATATGTTTGATATACATAAATATATGTATTGAATATTTTTTTCAATATGTAAATAATAAATTCCGAAAAGCTTACATAACTTTGAAGACCACAAACTTTAAACGGCTTCATTGACCTTGTCTTAATTTAACTTGTGTTACATGCTATCCTTAATTTTCATGAATTGATTATCTTAGGGTCTTTGGAGTTCAAAATATTTACATCAAAAACCGTTCTGTAAACTTTTTTCGGAATTACCTTAGTATGAATGACAACACTTATCGCAAATATCAATGAAGACACAACCAACGCT